GTTTTCTGCTTCTACCTGCTAAACAAGGGAATGTATGCTTCAGCCAGAAAAGGCCTGCCCCACGAGAACAAGGCCCATTACAACACGCACCTTCATTCCAACCTCAAGAAGGTATAAATATCCCCTTTGTTACCACTAATTGTAACCACTATGCAAGTCTCCAGGCTGGCACGTTACGTAGTCACTTCTGTATTTTCTTTCTGAAGCCTGAGTTTACAAAATGCAGAAGTACTTCATCTTACATAGAGCAGATCAATCAGGTCATGGTTGATCAAGCATTGTCTCAAGGATAGAGACAGTTTAAGCAGTTCCAGCATTACCCTCTTAATCCTAGTCCTCCCGGCATCCTTTCTTTTTGTGCCAATGCAACCATTTGGACAGCTAGATAGCAAGATAGATCAGACCACAAGACTGCCCCCAACACCCCCAAAAAGCAAAAAACCCTAAACCAACCAAACAAAATTCAACACTTTTTTTTTCTTCATTGATTTGTTTTCCCAGCCAGATGAATATCCTGATCTGGCTCACGACACATATGTGCAAATGCTCCCATCAACACACAGGAGAGGAATAATAAACCAAGAGCTGGAGAGGGGTGGGAAATGCACCAGCAAACTTACACACTGCTAGATCAAACTTAAAACTGCAGACTTTTTTTTTTTTTAAGGAGAAAGACTGTCATTGTTTGTGTTGCCTTTTTTTTTTAATTGATATCTAAAATGTCAACCATAAAAAAACCCAACCCGGAGACTAAGAAAAATACTGGCTAACATGCAAAAGAGAATCCATTTACTTAGTTATATCTTCTTTGCTATCAGAAACATAGTGTAGAAGAGGTCTCTGAGAAAGAAGACCCCCATTTCCAAAGGGTATCAGACTCCAAATTGCTAAAGCCATTGCATCTCTCAAATACCTTTGTTCATCTTGCTTTGCTTAGAAACAAGCTTGAAAGCTAATTTTAGACACCAGAGTCACAAACCATTATGTGTTTTACAAGTCAGAAGGGGAAGAGAATTGTATTGAAAATAAAAACATTAGCAAAGCAGAATTTACTGAACATTAGCAAAGCAGATAAAGTAGTAACAAAGCACAGTACAGGGCATTGTAAGAAGAGAAACAAATTGTCTACCAGAAGCCCAGCAATCACACTTCTAAATCATTTGCAGATATGAGAAAGTAACTGAAACCCAAGTCAATACAAACAGCTTTATGTAATGTCTCTGAAAAGATTTTTTTCACCCTCAGAGTTACAATGAAACACCTTAACTGTGCGTTATTCTTGCATGGTATCAGCACAACAGTAGTGATCAGGGGTAAAGAGGACCTCAGGTGGTAGAAAGTAGCAGCTGCAGATTATATAAGTGCTTTCAAACCACTCCTCATTAAGTAATTCAGCTCATTTTAATTGCCATGTCCCATGTACTCATGCTATGGTCCTTGTTTAAGTAAAAACTTTTGTTACGCTTGCTCCACAGATGTCTAACTTTGAGACTTCTTTTTTTTTAAGTCGCTGCAAACAAATGTAAATTTACACACATGAGAAAAAAAGCATGCTTCAGGGCTGTTGGTAGCTCATATTTAAATCCTTAAATTGGATTTATAGTTTTTTTCAGCTTCAGTTTGAAATTTTTAAAAAATTCTGCTTAATTCATAATTAGGAAGCTCTAAGCAGCCCAAGCTTAAGAGAGCAGCTCAGAATTTCTACCTGAACCCTGGAGGTGCACCAAAACAGCCAGTACTTTTGTCTGGGGCCACAAAGCTCCCCCACTGTTAGTAGAGGACCGTCAACATTTTCGGTGTTCTCTTTCAGCGAGACATGTGGGAGCTGGTCACCTGCACACTTAAGCTGCACCCAACTTGTTTCAGTAACATCAACTCCACTCCAAAACCAAAGGGTGTGCCCCACTTTTGCAGCTGCAACACCCTTTTTGAAAATGGGAAAGAAAAATTTCACGTCCTTCTTAGCCAAAGGGGTTTGAACTGCAGCTCCCAGGTTTCAGAGTGCTCTGTGACACCACCAGAACCACTGCTCTTGAAGCTGAGCTTACAATACACATAGAAATGCCTGAGTCAAGGCCCCAAAGCCGGAATATAGGTAGAAGACTTGAGTCTCCACCCTGCTGAAGAATTCAGTACAATTACTCTCAGAAGTTGCTCTCTTACATGTTACCTAGAGTCCTTTTTTCTTATTCAGAGATACACACTGGTAGGCTCCTGATGTACTACTGCCTCTTCCTGTATGTTCATAGAAACTTTAAATGACCTGCACAGAATGTCAAAGAGGATGGAATTAGGAGTACAACAGAATACATACTATGTTGAAGTCAGATATATATAATCTAGACCCTTTACTGCCTGCAAAAGTTCAAACTTTTAGAAAATAATGTCTATTTTACACATTTTATCTTTTTGTGCTATTTCTGAATAGTAAAAGATGTCCACAAACATTTTCTTTCATAACATACTATCTCATGAAAGCTGAGATGAAGAGAGTATGATTAGAAAACAGCAAGATTAGTCACACACCCCTGCAGCAGGACCTGTTCTAGCACATTTCCTTCATAGTTTGAAACAGTGATTGTGACTGAGAGATGTACTGCACATTTTTCTAAACCAGTCAGATACAGGGGATTAGATCAGCATGCAGATTCAAGGACAAGTAAAGTGTAGTTTTAGCTTCCCATTTCTAACCACAATAGTAGAAGCAGTATACAAACAGTTCATGATCATAATTTTTCTTGGTCATTCTGATAAAATAATGCAAATGTCAACAAATACTTCCTACTCATTCCATTTGCATACAGTGTTTTCTGATAGTAGGCATGAGGTATGGATCTGCCAACATTAAACTACACAAGCTACTCAGAAGAAAATATTCAAACTTTAGATTTTGCAACGTCTACACGAACATTTCTAATGGGGTGAACATTTCTAAATCCTGTGGAAATCCATCCAAGTATGCTCACAGACTTTGAAGATTACACATGGAGATGACATATAGTACGATCTGTTATGCAAATCATGCTTTGCTGTCTGGCTTCTTGAAAAATACCCTGACTCTATTTTTTAATTGTTAAAAAAAAAGGGGGTTTTCAAGCTTTTTATGTTTATGAATATAATTTCCTGCATCTCACATGAATAAACTGTTGACATTATGAGGGATTTGCAGAGTCAGCCTGTGGAGAATGTTAAGTAATGTGGCAAGATAATGTTATGTTTTGTAAAGGCTATGGAAAGGCAAACCTGTGGCTGGATGTGCGTCAGAGCTAGCATGAGAGCATGCTGCAAAGAAGTGAGGATACTCAGAGCCGCTGTGCAATGCTGGTGCCAGCGTCAGCTGCTGTTGCAGGCCGGGAGAAGGCAGAGACAGGGTTTACTGCTGTTTGCAGAAGAAAACTGCTGAAAGGGCATGAAAGTCACTCCCATCACTCCGAAACCTAATTTATCCTGTCCTGCTGGAGAGCCACCCAGAGAACATGTTCAGAGGATTTAAAATCTTTCCTAAAGGATATCTAAACTGGTACGTTTGATTAGACTTCCTTGGGCTTGTAAAGAAAAATACAGCATCTCTAGGTGAGAAGTAAATTAGTTCAACAATGGATGGTTAATTGTAACTAACAAAGTCAGGCTTTCTAATACCATCTGAGATGAAGTTGTGGTGACTATGTATTCCTCAAGTGCCTTTCAAATATCCTCCGTCCCCAAAAATCAGTGAAGTGATTCACTCTCAGAAACACAGCCCTAAAAACAAGGGAGCAAAATGATGGGTGACCAGGATAAAGTGACAAACTTAGTGACAGCAGCACTTACCTGACTCCATAGAACGAGAAACCCCGGGTAAAGACACATCCTGTATTTGCTTATATAGAGAAAGAATAAAAATGAGTATGCTCAAGCTGTTCTCAAAAGCACATGGTGGAGAATCAGGAGAGAAAAAAACCCCACCCTCTTTCCTGCAACACTTCCTATTGCTTTCAGTCACAGTATATTTAGGTATCACTGGAAAGACACACAGTACTAAATACCAACATCACAAACATGGTTTCCAAATTGAGACAGTCATTTAAATAAACCATCTAACATGTTTCTTACAAGCACTAAACTTCCTTTGGACAACAGTGAAGATGTCCCCATTGTTTAAGGGAAGCTCTGCACATACACTGAAGGATCAGGAGTTAAACATAAAAGACATTGCCAAGAGACCCTGAGAAAACACGTTTTACACTGTCACATGTGTGTTACATAATAGGTAATTCACTGTCAAAAAAAGCCCCACTTCTATTCAGTCCTACTAAAGTGCAGTGCTAGCAGAGGAACAATGCATTTTTTGTTTTATTATAGTGCACTTTAAATAAAAATTACAATCAACTTTTCTCCCTTCTCAGAAACCTTGTCATGTTGAGCATGATTGGTTTTAATTCTTCTGCAGTGTGTTCACATAAGCATCTTATAACAATAACTATTCAGAGGTACTTTACCCTTTGTAAAAGCATTGCAGTGTCTAATGTCCTGTTAAAAAAAGTCTGTAAAAGCCACTACCTTTTCTCCAATATTATCAACATCAATCATCTGCAATGTTCTAATAAAACTCATGTAAGAATAAAACGTGGAACAGCAGATGTAAATACTGTTTCAGTAAGTCAAAAACACACACTTCAAACACGCAGTTACTGCCTATCTCCCAATGAAGAAACACACTAGTCCCATTTCTATTTTGAAAAACCTAAGACCAACCTTTTTATTGCAATAAAAGCAGGCCTAGAAAGTGCAGCATATTGTCAACAGGTTATCTACATTACCATATTATTTGGCTCTGCCTCAGTCATCAAAAAAGTGTGGAAGTCAGCTGAAATTCCTTGCTCATGATTGAGCTCCCAGGATAGAAAAGGGGTCCTATCTGGACCCTAAAGAAAAGGTGGATAGATACATTCAACTCTAAATCAACACAATATAGGGTACCTTCAAAAAACGTAAGTTCCCACCCTTGCTCTGCTGTGTACAAAGCAGGTATCTGGCCCAGGTAGGTACCAGTTTATCAAAATGCATACGTCTTCCCTCTCTCACAGCGATGACAGCTCATTAAAGAAGAGTCACTAACTATTACACAGACATTCAGAGTGTTATGCAACATGGGAGTTGCTCATCCTTAAACAATGTAGTCTTTTGGGCTGCCAATTCAGTTTCAAGCAAAAAACCTTTCTTGTTGATCCGAATGACACGTTATTTTCTCATTCTAATTTGTCTGTTTAAAATATTTAGGAGTGCTCATATGAAAGTGATGAATATGCTCATAATTATGTCCATCTTTATAAGATCCAAACCTAGGAAAAATATTCAACAAAGCAAAACCATTACAACATAATTTAACCCATGCAATTAAATCATACACTTACTACAGTATAATTAACACTTCTTCTGAATGTTCTAGATAGTTTATTTCAGAAACAGGCCACAATCTTACATAAAAATCATAATCTACGTACGCTATCTAACTAGAGGTCTTTGAGTATAATGGAGATAACTTAATTACACTGATTGGATTAATGCCATAGGCACTCTATAAATGGAACTCCAGCTGACAAAGGAAAGCAGTGCATTTATCTAGTTAAATCCCCTGCTCTTGAAGTTTTTTCCACTGACTTCAGTGGAGATATAATTTAACCCCCCATAGTATCCAAATAGTCAACCCTATTGTTAATATTGCACATCTTACTTTTGGAAATTATGGTGAAAATTGTAATTTTTCATGCTATATTTAAATCTGAAAGTTTTGACTACTGACTCTTAAGGTAAACAGATTTGCAAAAGTAAAATGTAGTACTTATTCAAAATGTCAGTGCTAAATAACATTTAAGAGCAATGCCATTGTATTCAAAAGAACTATAGTTAACTGGAAGAAGTTAAATTTATTCCTAAAGGGTACAAATTTTCTGCTTATAGGCAGACATAAAAGAAATTAGGACAAGAAAAATATTCTGTGCTGAAATCAACTGAGAAAAATCTGAATGTGAATGCTAACTTTAGGCAAGTTTCATCATGTGGAAAAGACTGGGCAAAGTCCTGCTTAGACAGAAAGCCAGCGACTCAGTAGTAAATAAAAAGTGAGTAAGCTCAACAGTTAGGTGTACATAAGAAATTAATATATTCTGTATTATGCATGTTAGAAGTAGTAAATATGGCATTGCTAGAAATTGTCTCTCTGTGGCAACATCTGTCTCAAACTTCATGACTCTTCCACTGATTTTCAGTGTAGAATAAATACCTTTCTCCATATTTCTCTTCCTTATGCAATGCCAATGGAAAAATGACAGCATTCCAGAAATAAATAACTTTTTATGTAAAAACCTAACCTTCTTTTCTTCTTGACGTATGTAACATACTGCCTCAGGCATTCTCTTTAATTTTTGCTTCACTTATATAGCATGTTTTAAAATGTTTATGTGAAGAGTTTTTAATGTATATATTGTATTATGTGTTCTAAATTACAGTATATTAAGACCCCAGTCCTCAAAAGTGGAGAGAAACATGGGAGATGACATCATCATCATCTATTAAGTGAGTCACCACACCACTTGGCAAATATCCCTACCAAACAATCTCAGAAATTAATCACCTGGGTGAAATAAGCATTACCTTCAATTTATGCTACGACACACCAGACTGATTTTCCCAAGGCACATGCCAAGTCAGCAGAAAAAAATGGAATCACGAATCAGAAGTTCTTGCCTCCTAATCTTCTGCTCAGTTTAGTACTGACCAGTGCCTCCTACTTTAAGAACAATTTTGTTCCTAGACTTCTCTTTTACAAGAGGCCATGTACATCATTGCCTTAATTTCTTATGAGATACACTGACCTGGGATTGAAATGGATATCCTCAGGAACTTGGCTGGGATCGGTGACAATTCTGTCATTGTCAACATAGCTATCCAAGTGATCTGGGATCCTAAATTTGGCCATCTGGACTTCTGAATCACTTAAACCAGCATGAGATATGCGGGCATAGCCCAACCTATCAGATACAAGAAGAGTCAGTTTGAAGAAATAAGTCAATTTCACCACATTCTCAATTCACGTCTCTTTTTTTTCCCAAGAGTTATTATTTAACCCATCAACATAACTTTCGATTTCTGTGAATCTCACTTTCAAAAAGCTTTGTGCTCTATAAACATGAGGTTCATAACAATGTCACAAGTAGAAAAACTGAGAAAGCATGTTTGACAAGAAAAATAAGTTCTAGATCTAGAAACTTATTTTTAAAATTATAGTTTTAGAGTATGCATATATAGAGAGAGAATATATATACACACTGATACAAGCTCATCAATTTTTTTCACTGAAGAGATCTTGAAATTCAAGAAAGGAACTCAAGCATCAATGGAATGAGTAATGAGAAAAATTAGGTTGCAAATGGGAGTTTTGTTGCCCCCCCTTTTTTTTTTACTGAATACTGTTACTTATGACAGCTATCTAGTTTACTGATTTTACTCCTGTGAACACTGCAGAATTTGCGTGGTTTATTTAGAATAAGCTGAATTCCATTCTGGTACATACATCACCAAGAAAATGATTTACAAGCAACTTGGTATTAAAAGATATAGAGTGCATAGGTCCCAGCAGAGGTAAGTGCTTCAATATGGGCTTATGCAGTTAAAAGTTTCCACTAAATCCAGCATAAAGCTTGGCTGGATTAGATCAGCATTTTGCTTTAACAAACCCTACAATCATAGTTCAAAATTTATATCTTCTGTGTCACATACAAATTAGGGCTTAGTCTTCACATTTTAGAATGAAGCTGCAAAGCCAGAGCTTTGGAAAAAAGTAGTTTTACATTACCAAAGCATATTAGAACTGAAGGCTTTTGAGAAAGAAGAATGAAACCTCCAATACTTTGTAAATTACATTCAGAAATACACCAATCCACCCTGAGATCGATGTTTCCTATTACTTCATGATATATCTAACTGTCCATACATAATCGTTTAGGAATAAACCCCTCTTCCACAATTACCTACAGAAGGGTGTAAAACTGATTGTCATAAAGATATTTAAAACCAATGAATAAATGATCCACTTTAACATACCTTATTACTCCACGATACATAATATAGCTACACCATCTGTCATGATCTGTACTGTCAATATCCTATGAGTGAAAGGAAAAAAAAAAGTCAAATAAGGCAAGCTTTCCTTATAGGTAGGCTTTAGATCAGAACCAATGTGTAAACCCACTAATGTTTTGCCTAAAACATTGTAATAAGGTAGAAAGAAAAAAAAGTTAGACAAGTCAGACAACTTTTTGACATCTCCTGACAAAAACAACAACCCCCCCCACCCCCCCGAAACCAAACTGCAGAACTTAGTTTTAAAACAAAAGAATCAGAATTAGAGGTTGGAAGGGATGTCTGAAGGTCACCCACTCCCAACCCCATGCTCAAAGTAACTTCAAGCAGGTTGCTCAGCGCCTTATGCAGCCAACTTCTGAATATCTCCAAGGATAGATTTCACAACTTCTCTGGGCCCGTTCTAATGCTTGACTACCCTGACTGTGATTATTTATTTTTTTTCTTCTACTATCTGACATTCCCCTTGCAGCAACTGCTGTCCATTGCATCCTGTTCTTTCTCTGTGTAACTCCACCTTTTCTATAACATGAGGTAGCTGAAGATTATATTTGAAAATGTGCATGTATTTTCTTACATGTCTATTTCTAAATTACTAATTTGAAATATTAAGCTGAATGTTTCAAATATATATTATCTCTAATTGCTCAAAGAAGCAGTATTTTTACATTACCTGGACATTTCCATTTTCTATTAATTCAGTATAATCTCTGGATCCAGGAGCTGAAGTGATGTATCCTAGAAATACAACTTGCTTAGAGCTAGTCTTCAATAGGTTTGAAACAGCTATAGCCTGGAGTTTTCTGTCCAAGTCCTCTCTGAAAGAAATGGAAAAGACTTTTAACGTATATATGTTTTAGTTCTGAATCTTTGTGCTATAACATAGTAAATCACAAACAAACCTGGTACCTTTTTCATTTCTCAGTATTAGTATGAAAGTTTATAGAAAGCTCACTGATTCAAAATGATCACTATGTTTGATAAAAGCCACGTGGTCATGGTAGATGTAATTAGGGTTCTCTTTCTAACCGTTAGAGGAACAATTTTTTCTATTACTGTTTTGTTTTTAATACTGATCTCATCACTAGGAAATGTGAACATAAGTGCTTCAGTTATCTGAGGCTTTGTCTCTGCCTGCACTTGAAATTTAATTGTGCTAGCACAGTGTGGTGCATAACAAAGAGCTCACATGCTAACAAAACTTTTAGGATGGACAGATCATGGTAAATATCGTCTTAAAGTCTGGGTCACATAATTTATGAAATATAACTTAAGACCTACATCATCCCATTAACACTACTTAACAACATTTGGCAGGTATTCTGCGTCTCTTAATAATATTTACAGAACAGTTCCAACATGACCAAAAATGTTAGCATAAGTGGAGCCTGGTAAAACACTGCATTGGATCCCATTCCTTATCCTTGGATTTGTCATAATGTAATGTAACAGCAGTTTTCTTTCTATGATTCTTCATGTTAATGACTTTAAAAAGCTGTGTAAATCACGTTCTCGTCTGTATTTTGGTAGACTGGGCTAATACCATTGAGAGAGAGAGTTGATTTTGGAATCTGTAATCCCAATAGGAGACAAGAATTTAAATGCTGCTATTCTTTTTAAGCAGCAGTACTTCTGACTGAAGGAAATGCATTAGGGAAAAAGAGCACACAGACAGGAGAAAAAAACCCCAACCATATAAATAGAAGCCTGACCTAGGTATATGTGAAGTTGCCTGCTCAGCTAGCTGCTCTTTCCAGAACTACACCTCTCCAGAAGATGGGTTCTTTTACATGACACAGGCATTGTTATATTCCCACATTTTAAAAAGTCTTTAAAAAAATTCCCTAGTTATCCAGTATTCTATAGTTTACGTTTGATGGTTGGACTTGATGATCTTAGAGGTCTTTTCCAACCTTAAAGATTCTATGATTCTATGTCATCCTAAGCAGCAGATGAAAAAAATATGAAAAAGAGTAGTTGTGTGTGCCATTTAATTACAAATTCATTCACCTCAAAACACACTCTAATTTGCACTCGTTTCCCATGTGTCTCCTCCTATTTTCTCCTTCATCTTTATCTCATCTCTCTGTGAAAGGGGAATACAGTGCTATTTCCTTCTACTTTTACAAACAGTTGCTCAGAGAGGCAAGTCTAATCATCTGTGTGAGGCACAGAATGAAATTCCTTTCTCAAGTTAAAATGGGAGTGGTTTCTGACAACTATAAAGGTTTAGTAAAAGGGAAATCTATAAACAATTTGCATACTTGGAGCACAGCTTCTATATGGGGGAAGGAAATGGGGAAACTCAATATAGGATAATGAGAATTCCTACTGCTTTCTGAGCAGCTTCTTTATTTATTATATTCCGCACCCAATCCATAAATTTGCCTCTCCAAGAATTATAACTTATATTAAAAAAATAGCCACATAACCACATAACCACAAACATACCAGCTAAAACCGGAAATAAACCAGAAAATACAGCTACATAGAGCATCACAAAACTATCCCTTATTAATATTTATTACACACAAGTAATCAAGACATTGTTTTAAAAAACTGAAATATATACCTTAATCTTTTTCATCACATATTTGAGTTATTGCTATAATTCTTTCTTTCAGAATCCAGAGATCAGATTTCATATTTCCAGTTTCATATAGTCAGAAGGACACTGAGTGATTATTTTTGTTGCTGTTTCAACACTGTCCTTTCTTGAAGGTTTCAGAATTGTTACTTTTCATTTTAATAAACACCAATTGTCCATTAATGCTATTTGTCTGTAACTGTAACTATCTGCACTCATTGTAGAATATAATAGATCTATTCCATATGTGAAAAGTCAGCAGGATGCTATCCTGCACTGAGATGTATATGTAACCCTATTACTTGTTGTGGTTTTGCAGAATTATATCTTTATATTTTTAGTAACTCAGACATTAGGCTCAGCTGAGTTGTGTGACACATTTGTCCCTGTTTAAAAATGCTTCAAAATTTTAAACCAATAGCTATGCCATAGCATTTCCTCCAACATGTCTTGTTAGAACCAGCATTACAGCAGCAGATTTTAAAGGGTACAAAACAAATTCCAGAAGTTCACAAATTACAATTATATTACCCGACTTTGCACAATATATGTAACAATAGATAGAACACACACTCTTCATTTCCGAAGTGGGCGACAACAAAATCAATCAGTTTCCCTGTGAAGTTGACAGTCATGGAGATGGCAGGTGCAATCTCTCCCTCTGGAGACGGAAGGAGGTGATGGGTAGATTTTACAATTGGATACCTGGATAGTGCCATAATCCTACATGAGAAGAGGGAAACACATTTTGTAGTTCACAAGCATCACAAGTGTGAACTAAGCAGATAAATGAAGGCAGAAGACTAATGGTCACTGAACTCAAAACCATCAGACCAGAACACAAACCATCTCTAGCGGATTTTTCTAAATTTAGGTTTTCCTCTAAAACATTACTTACGTATGTATCTAAAATTGTATTATCAAATTCACTCCTACACTAAGAAATACTATTCCATATATATGAATTCTTACACTGAGCCTTTCAAAACTTGCATCTTCAGACAAAACCAAATTTTATACTACCAGTAATTAAAATGTATTTTATCAGAAGTAGAAGCAGGTAGAAATACATCTTTAAAGTGTGAGAGCCACACTGCCCAGGTCACAGAAGGCA